AAATACCGCAATTTTCGATGCATGCATCACCAGTATCTGTCACTGTCTCAGATGATGGGTTAGAGCGAGAGTCCGAAGCGTCAGGCGAATGAAGCTCCTGTTCCAGTGATCGCTTCTACTTCTTATCAACTAGTTCCTGGAACTCGCATCTTCGTTTTTATCAGCAGTAGGCAAACAGTAATGCATTTTCTGGGCGTCTACGCTGCCGTTAGAAAGGGGGGAAAACCATCGGTCAGACTTCGCTTGAGTGGCTATTTACGGGCAGCCAGCTTACGCGAATGTCAGCCTTAGAGCTCCAGAACCTGCACAAACATCCTTTTTGCACTTACTGGCGTGATCTGTCTTAAATCATCGTTGTCGCCGGCGCCGTTGCAAGTAGGCCCTAATGGTGAGTCAGCGCCCGATAAATCACCCCGCGGAAGGTTTCCTCGACGTGCACCCGGTGCTACTGCTGACCACAGACCCGCGGATGAGGACTTTTATTGCCTTCAGGGCTGAACCAAGTTATTCCAGGCAGTGGGCCCTCTCAACCCCCGTATACATGCAGCTACGTTTTCAGTCAGCACGACTTGCTGAGGTAGTCTTGTCTCTACGGACACAGCAATCATCGCGTAGTTTGCAATCCGAGGTTTGTTTACGACACGAGAGGTGTTACTTTCTATAGGACGTCTAAGTTCCTATCCACCCGTGGTCTGTTCATCCCTTATTACCAGTGAACAAACCAGCTGTGTCTGCAAACTTACTGAAGATAAAGAACACGAAGTAGACAGTAGAGCCTGTCGTGACCAGGCGGTGTGAGTGTGTGCATTCTGAGCGCTACAATACTCAGGGCAAAATCCTTGTTGGAAGGAGAAGATAGAAGGAACCATAATGAGGGGTTTTTTGTGCGCAGAACCAGGAGTTGTCCTCTCTGGAGACAGTGGCCACTGGCGAAGCCAGGGCCGGTGTTGACTGCATCCAGTCATGCCTGAGAGTCCCTGAGATAGTGATGGCAGCCGCTTTTGTAGGCTCGTGGGCCAAGCTCAAGTGGTGTCCAGTCAGCGTGCGTTGCATTTGCTGAAGGATGGTGTCCCAGTGGCTCATTTTGCCGGTTGCAGGGGGTGGCGCGTTCAGGTGGCGCATGGGTAGCAGCGACATTATGAGGACGCAATTGTGTTAGAGCTGAAGTCGGCCGAGTGGCTTCAGGTCAGCGTGTCTGGAAAGGCTCGCTGCAAGGGGCAAATGACCTTGAGGCAGTGAGGTCTTGGACAATGACGCCAGACCGGTTATGATGGCTGCCCACTACAAGCCTGCCATAGGGGCCACTAGCACATCATTACCCGCGAACAACCCCACAGATAGTCAGATGGAGTAAAGACTGGCCATAACATGTAGCATATTCGGGATGGCAATCAACCGAGCAAGTTTTCAACTGAGACAAATTGGCAAGATCGTTTCGGCCGGGGCACTGTTCGACTCGGTTTCAGATAAGTAAGCACTCATTCGCTGCAATAACTTGTTCTGCTACAGTCATAACCGCAGAACTCCCATTTGGTCAACGAAATCGTTAGTGCAATGAGTGCATAAAGACGGGTAAAAAAAGTAAACTACTCATCAAAAATGAACTGCTTCCTCATCTTCACGACACAACTGCGTACGCCAGCCTTGTTTTGACGAGCGATAACGACGTTTAGCCCGAAGACGATACACTAAATAGATCCGGTCATATTTATGCGGGACGACGAAGTCTGTCATAACTTTTAGGGACTTTAGAGTTTGGTATAGGCCGATAGACAACAGTCAACTCAGGCGTCGGGGTGGTAAGCACGGACCAATAACACTGAACTGAACTGAACTCAGGTGTCAGGGTGGTAAGCACGGACCAAGTGGAGGCAGACATGGTGGGCTTTGATGGTGGGAATTCTGAGACAACTCGCCGATGGATTACCTTGACTTTTGCGATTCCTCCAGCTGTCTTGTGACCTTCGAGATTGCTGTCGCACTGAGATCTGTCGCGCTGAGGATGCCGGGAGGACAGGGGCGTAAGAACGTTGCCTCGTAATGCAGGCGATCGTGGGCTAAATTCCAGGCAAGGCTCCGATTTCCGGGCCCAAACGCTGACACTAACCTTAACCCAAACCTTAACGTTGAACGCAACTTAAATTCCAACCCTACTTTAATCCTAAATCCAATTTCAACTTTAAACCTGACCCTGAACGTAACCCTAGCTCTCACCCTTACAACAATTTTATTGGATTGTCTAAGTTCCGCAAGTATTTCCATGTTACACTTGAGAAGTCAAGTTGACAAACACGTGTTTTCGGTAATTCTTCGTCAGGCCAATAAAAATTTAAAAAATCAACAGTGTTTATAGGTGTCTCAAGAGCTACTAAGTCAGTAACACTCATCATTCCCACACCGCCCGCATGACAAGGTCGACAGGTGTTGGTCCTCAGAGCTAGGGGAGGGGGGTAAGAGATTATTCGAGTGATGTTCTTGGATTGAGGACACGGAGTACCCATCACTGTAATTAGGGATTTGAGGCGACATGTCGTCATCACGCGAGGTTGGCGTTGGCCACGGCAGAGAGAGCGCTTGTGTCAGGGTTTTCTGACCGCATAATACCGGATTCGCTAGCCACTGCCTCGGCCGTTGCTATTATCCGTTGGCGTAGGCCTTTAGAGAAGCATGTTGGTGCCCGGTAGACAACCTGAAATGATTCCTTGGCATCGACTCGGTGATTCGTATCGATAAAATGTGCGAATTTTGTACATTTTCATTCCTTCATGTAACTGTATCGGGCTGACGAAGAGTTACCGAAAACACGTGTTTGCAAAGTTGACTTTTCAATGTTGCTGGAATTTAGCGCGATGCCGCCTGTATTACGTGGCGTTCCTAGTTCCGTGTCCTATCCGAGGTCCCAAATAAGCAATCCTTCCTTCGGTCTTTATTCTCTAATTTAAGCTCCGCATCCGTCGCAAGTTGGAGCTTCAAGGATCAAGAACATGCGGGAATGTGTGCTGTTCATTTTACAATAGGATTAGTTATTATGGTGCTAATTGGTACGCATCTACTTTCCCATACGTTCCGATTGAGGTTATCTGGAGATTTTGTTTTATAGAATGTGCATGTGCCTATCATCAGACTAGAAAATTAATAGACTCAGACCAAAAAATTTACTTTTTTTCCTGTATATTAGGTGTGTTTCAACTGTCTGCTGCATTTAATCAACAAACCGAGTTCATATGCCTCTGAATACTGTTAACGCATGAAATTGTGTGTTCATCTGTACAGTTTTAGTTATTCCCTTTGTATTTCTTTCATGTTGCTTTTTTTCCATTTTCTCCATAAATTTCCTCTGCATGTAAGCAATAGGGATTTCAAAGATGCACACCTGCTTTCCTGAAATACACTGACACTCACTGATTGACTACCGGATTCAGTCGTTTGAAGAGGAATGAATGAGCTATATAGTAATATTTTATTCATAGTTACGTTAATTCATCAGACTTTTATGGCAACGATAGGGTGCAGGGCCCAGAACTAACTTGAGCTAACCTGCGGACCGTGTCATACGTTGAATGGTGAAAGAGGGGGTTTTACGGGTGGGGTAACACACAGGACGGTGAGCAAGAATAGACAGAAAATAGATACATTTCTACCGAAAGTCTTATCATGCTTTGTTATTTGGCAAAGAAAGTGAGCAAAAAGCAATTCTCAAAAGTAACGGATATTGAATAAAGCGCCACTGGTAAGTTTACATTTAGTCCGGAATGGAAGGGAATTTCAAACAACGGGAATGGGGAATAATAGGAAATTTTTACAGTCATACTAAACTTTAGGGTATATTTTAGCAGTTGCCATCTGCCTGTGGGTCCTCCACTCTATCGCTAGCATTTTCATTAACACAAAGCGCTTTGAGCCACTACAGTCCGCTGAGAAGCGAGTTATTCTCGGTAAAGCGAACTAGAAAAATACGGAAATGAACAGGCAGAAACATTTCTATGCAACTTACGCAAAGGGCTCACCACTCGAAAGCTCGCCGGCTGTCGAGTCCCGCATTTTCGTCTAAATTTAAACCGGCTGTTTGTTAAAACACGGACTATAATCTTTTTCATCGCCGTCAAATATGACATTCAAAGTTAAAAGTTGGTAAGTCTCGCCTTTCCTCTATTTCTGTCCCAGTGGGTCAGTTCTCGTTTCAACACCGCCCAGGAGTCAGCCACCGGCCTGCATAAAAAGAATATAATAAAACGCGCACGCATTCCAAACTACTGGTCAGACACACGAAAGTTTTTCTTCTCCAACAGAGTGGGTGCAGCTTGGAATGCTTTTTCTGAGGATGTTGTTATGTTGGGATTCGTAGACACTGTTATACGGAGGCTAGATCAACATTGGAGCGCACACCAAAATAACACCGGACTACAGCCACCTTGATAGCCAGCGTTGACAATTTAGTGTTATGACAATGCTACTACAGACATAGGTTTATGTAATTTATTAATGTTAGACCACGTCGCACACCGCTGCTCGTATTCACCAAGATGCCTGCAGTCTATAAAATTTACTTCTTTTCCTGTATCTTAGGTGTGCTTCAACTGCCTGCTGCATTTAATCAACAAGCCGAGTTCATATGCCTCTAAATGCTGTTAACACATAAAATTCTGTGTTCATATGTGCAGTTTTTGTTACTCCCCTTGTATTTCTTTCATGCTACTTCCTTCGCATTTTCTCCATATACTTCCTCTGCATGTAATCAATCGGTATTCCAAAGTTACACACCTACTTTCCCGGAAATACACTGATACTGATACATACGGTCGCCACTAAAATAGAACCAATAAAACAGGGCATTAAAGTACGCGGATCATAAGTCTGGAGTCATACGTGTCTGGATAGGCATCGTCTTCCCCTTTCATTTAAATTTGATTTCGCAAAACGATCTCATAGCGGCGGCGGTGTATGTTCATTGTGACGCTGGTCCTGTGGCCAGACAGCAGCTCGGAAAACGTGCGCAGAACTTACTCATTGATGGGTATGGTGACACAGTCAACGACTCGATGCCTCGCTCCTGACACTGATCCACCCAAATCCCCCCCAAATACACCATCATCATCATCATCATCATCATCATCATCATCATCATCATCATCATCATCATCATCATCATCATCATCATCATCATCATCATCATCATCATCATCATCATCATCATCCTCATCATCACCACCACCACCACCACCACCACCACCACCACCATCATCATCATCGTCATCATCATCATCATCATCATCATCATCATCATCATCATCATCATCATCAACATCGTCGTCGTCGTCGTCGTCGTCATCATCATCATCATCATCATCAGCATCATCTCCGGCGCCTCCACCACCAGTGCCCCCTCCTATCTCTGTCAGCCTGACTTACGGAAGTGTCATACCGGTTGGGTTACTTTTTTATGAGCGCTATTATGTCGCACGAGGAATTGGCAAACAGTAATGTTTTTGCAGCACGAATGCCAGAAAAGCTGCTAAAAATTGTGATTAGCGCTGCAGCAACGCCCCAGTAGCGATCTTCCCCTTATAAGTAGGTCGCGCACAAGTACTGCCCATCTTGGGACCCCGACGGGTTTTTAATAAAAATTATTTATTTATTTATTAGTTAAAGTGAATTGAGGCGAATCCGCCGCGCTAAGAGTCAACCATAACATATTTGATTTTAGCCAATCATCTCTGGCGAGCGACAGGACACCTACAGATCCTAGACTAAGACCATACTCAAGGGCATGTCATCGAAACCTCTAAATTAGAAATTTGTGTCAAAGTGAAATGCCCAATTCTCCTGATCAACAATCTTGTGAAGCCGTATAAACTACTGTCTCTGATGATGGGTTCGAGCGGGAGTCCAAAACATCAGACAAATAAAGCTCTTGTCCCAGCGATCGTGTCTCCTTCTTCACGAATTCTTGAGGAGGCTGATTTCTACAGCTGATAAGAAAGGAACTTTTTAGGTGCCTATTAGGGTCAAAAACGGCCTTGAAACATGCATATAATTAAAATTGCATTTTCGAGGAACGAATGCCGCTGAGTTAGCTGAGTAGCCTCAAATTTGAAAGCCAACGAACAATGGGATCCGAAGAAAGGGACAAGATCGCTGGAGCAAGAGCTTTATTAGCTTGACGTTTCGGATTCTCACTCGAATCCATCATCAGAGACAGAGGCAGATAGGGGTGGTAAATTGTCCAGGTGTTGCAGTATTTATAAGATGTAGCTGCTAGTGACCTAAAAACTAAAGTATCCAGGAAGGCGACAAAGACGACGCAAGTACTGAGCTACAACAGTAGCCACCCAATTAGTCACAAACGCAATTGTGCAAGGGCGCCATACCAGCGTGTGGAGACAAACTGTAGTGAACCGGAAGACAAGGTTGCTGAATTGCAATACCTTCGACAGGTATTCAAAGTCAATGGCTACCCGCGCAACTTAGTCGACCAGTGCCTGCGCAAACGGGACAAGAGAGAAAATACAACCGGCCCCAAATTTTGGCGAGCTATCCCGTACGTGAAGAATGTCTCAGAAACCGTCAGCCGTCTTCTCACACCCTTTGGAATCGGAGTAGCACACAGACCGTAGGCAACCATAAGGCACCAGATCATGAGGCCGGAAGACCCATTGCCACGGTAAGAAACATCTGGAGTCGTTTACCGTGTCTGGTGCAGCCGTGGCCAAAGCAACTGTGTTGGAGAAACCGGGAGACAAATGTGGACGCGGATAGCCGAGCACGCAGTAACGGTGAGGGCGAAAGACGCCAACTCCTATGTCGCGGCTCACTCGACGGGACCCAACCACACATTTAAGTTTGACGAAGCAGAAATTCTTGCTAGAAGCGACAACCGCGTTAGCCGCGAACTGCTCCAGTCATGGTTATCCGGTCTTCAGTCAATCAACAAGCGCAATGACCTCCCCGCTCTATGGCGCTGAGACTTTGTCTAGGCAAAGTAGTTAGCCGCGAGGACAGCGTTTTCGGATGACCACTGTTACTGGTGTCAGTGTCGTCGAGTCAAATTGCCCAAGAGTCTACACAGATGACGAAATCCGGCCGTTAGCAACTCGACTGCGTGAGATGAGCGTGGGAATCGATAATCCTGACCGTCACACAAGGGCATACCAACTGTACGGAAACTGCATGCTTCAGCACCTGGCCAGTCGAGCCGTAATGCACTCGGGAGCTGCCAACTGCGATAGGCATGCAGCGGCCTAGCAACTACATCCTATAAATACTGCAACACCTGGACAATTTAGCGCCCTATCTGACTGTCTCTGATGATGAATTCGAGCCGAGAATTCGAAACGTCAGGCTAATAAAGCTCTTGTCCTAGCGATCGTGTCTCCTTCATCGCGACTGCTTCCTGGGCCTCGCCTCTTCTCTTCGATTAGCAAATAGGAGCTGAACTACCACGAGTTCGCCACCGGTTAAAAGATTGGTGGGGACTTAATCCCCCAAGGAATGAAGCTACTTCCAGCGTCTGTTGCACTTCCCTAGAAGGAAACCTAAGGCATGCAAAATATCCACCATGCTTACCTAGTTCAGACGGTACCAGAGGTGTTTCTAAGATTACGCAAGCCAACTTGGAACCGCGACTTTGAGGATCTCGAGTGGTTGGTTTTGGGAGCAAGAAACCGACCATAGTAGCTACTGTAAGCAGCCACAAAGAACGACCAATAGGACAGTTAGGCAAAAGAAGCTTTTTTCAACGGTGGACATTTCATTCGAAACATCTAAATCTAACTACTGTACTTGTCTGACACTGAAGCTCATACTGATTAGTACCCAGTCTATGTTCGCGTATTAGGCCAACAGTTTCGTCCTCAAAATCTGAAAACAGTGAAGATTGCTATTTCCTTTGGTCGTCCTTGTGCAAATTAACGACATATGCTCATCCCCCTGCGTATATTCATCCCTCACGTTGGTACAAGCAGTTGGGAACATTTTGCGATCGGTAATAGCAAGATGATGTGAAAAAGTAGGAATTTAAAACAGGCGTAGACAGCAGAATTTACTCCTACGAGGGGCATTATTGCTACGACTTATTAACTTTTACCCGTCGCTGCACAGATGTTGAATAAGAAGTACATAACAAGTCGGGGACAACGATTGGGTTAAGGACCACACTTTACTGTCCGTAGACTGTGGATCGTGTCTCGTGATTTCACGCGCAGGGCGGCACGCCAAGCAGTAAGCCGACGAAATACAAGAAAACACAGAACTTGTCTGGATTCCTGCCAAAAGTCTTATCGTACGCTTTCGTGTGGCAACGGAAGTGAGCGCGTTAATCAAAAAGTGAACAAAAAGCAATTTTTTTAAAAATAATGGAGTTTGGGTGACGGTTTGAAGTTAAGGGAGGTAATTGTCGCGGGCAGTGTAGTGTCTTCAGCGCCCTGCAAGTGAATGCTAAGATAAAATCCCATATGACACGATCCACAGTCCATCGACAGTTTAGTGGGGCCTTCATGCTACTGTTGCCAAGTCGAATTTGTGTGAATGTGAAAGGAGTAAGTCAAGGGAGGATTCAGATTAACCGTAACCGCATGGGCAACGGTAGGGCGTAGGACCCCAACCAACTTGAGGTTGCCAGTGGTGACAGAGGAGGTTTTACGGATGGGGAAAAACGCACGACGGAGGCCAGGCGGAATGCGAGTAAACACGGAGAATAATTAACTTTCCGCCGAATGTCTTGTCGTACGCTGTCATCCGGCAGCGAAACTGAGCGCGAAAATTAAAAAATAAGCAAAAAACAATTTTCAAAAAATAACGGAATTCGAGCAAACTGCCTCTGGCAAGTCTACATTTAGTCAGTCAGTCAGTGTATTTGAGGGAAATAGGCTTACGCCTTTTGAACTCCCTTTGTGTACATACAAAATCTATAAATACGCAAAAATGGGAATAAATTACAGCATGAAGTGAATGCGGACATTGATTCACATGTATCACTGGTCTCATAGCCAAAAGGTCACATAGTCCGCTTGTTGCTGCAGCATATGTCTGTCAAGTCGACATTTAAATGTCTCCACAGATTGAGACATGACAATCATCTCGGGCAGGTTATTCCACGATGCCACGACACGGTTGGAGAAGACATATTTTCTCACATTCAGTCTATCCTGGCGCACGCGTAGCTTGAAGGGATTCCCCGGAGGTTAGTTGTAGTGGCGAGTTGGAAAAGTCGCCGCGCCGAAGGGCGCAGTCCAAGCCACGCACGATACGAAAAGTTTGTATCACGTCAGAAAGCCAAAGAACTTTCAAACACTGGGAACGGGAAATAATAATCGATGCTTGCAATCACGCTAGATTTTAGTGTACATGTTGCAGTTGCCAACTACGTGGGGTCCTATACTCTGCCGTTACAGACGCATGACCCAGCTGTTTGCAAAAGCCAGGTCTCTCTCCATGTATCTGGCCTTTTTAATTAGGAGGGCAAGATCAGCGTTCTTCTATCACAAAACACTTCCTTGGTAGAGGACGATCCGCTCTCCCCGACGCAGCCTTCCAAGTATTTGTTCGTGCACGAATAACGCGGACATTGCGCTACTTGGAAACAGGGTCAGGTGTGGTTATGTAGCCGTACCCGAAGTAAACAAACCCCAGTCACCTCTAATACTGGATCTGTGGTAATAGGGGCTTCTACAGGTGGGGCTGAGGAACGCACAGGCGATGAGGTCAAGTAATCATATGTAAAACAAAACATATTGGGATTGTGCGGTTATAACTTGAGTGGTTGAGGAATATTTGCCCTAATCGCTGACCCCAAGTCCTGACCCCCTAACCCTAACCCTTAACCACAGCCCTAAACTCCAACCCTGAAAGGTCCAACGCGAAAGTTAGAAAGAGACGACAGGCCGAAAGTCAAGAAGAACCACCGACACTGGGCCGAAAAAGGTAGACACTGCAACAAAGAAACAAGGTCGCCAACAGAAAACACACCGCAACGCACAGCAACACCATGCCAACGTACTCACACCACTAAAAATAATTAAGTAGGTCAACAGTATTGTGTTAATCAGGTGCGGTTACGTAACCACATCTTACAGAAATCAGCCTACAAACCGAGGAGGAAGCCCGACCTGTGCAGACAGCTAGACCATGTGGTCAACCGTAATTCGTCTTCGTAATTCACAGTCTTTGGATCTACCAACTACATTTTGGGTGTTAGCCTTACGCCTTCCCTTCCTCTCTAACATTTTTAAGCTATCGTTTTCCTCGATTACACTGCGTGAACTGAACCAAGAGCTTGCTGCTTTCGAGTTTATTATCTATACAAATTCCACCTGTTGTATGCTACTCATTTATGTATCCTGTCGCGAAAATCACTGATAGCAGAAAAACGTGCGGCTTACACCTGTCTTAAATTAACATCGGAACAAAATACTTCAAATCCATAGTTGTTTGATTTTTTTGGCGTTTGTAATGCGGGAAATAGTCCCGTTGGCGAACTATTACGGCTGACTACTCTGTGTGACCTGGGGTTCCACATTGCGCACGAGTAAAGTCTGCTGTTTACACCTGCTTTAAATCAAATATTGCAGTCAAAATGCTTTAAAAAGCTCAGGGAATATGCCGCTCCTGGACGAAACAAAAGGCTCCTTCGGGGTTTGGTACTGTAACGCCCCTGGGCATGAACAGGATTGTTTGGATGTGGTGACACTTTTCGGCGCGAGGACCTAGGGTGGAGATGGCGTAGCCGAGGGTCAGGGAAGATGGCCGGTGTCCCTTCTTCTCTCTTCCGCCAATCCCTTCCCCCGCACCGTACCGTAACGTAACGTTCGTATCCCTCCCCTCCTCGCTACATCGGCACCTCCCTCGGCCCTCCTCTGCAGTTGCCCACAGCGCTGCAGTCCCCACCGGTTAATGAGCTGACATGTCGGTAACGCCTCTCCACCCAGACAGCTGTAACTCATCCTTCCTCTACCATTGAAGACCATTATACTCATTTCTCGTGCAATCTCGTTATATTACACTACAGCCCTTACTCGACATGCCTTCTTCTCCTGTGTATGGATGTGTATCAAGAGATGTTAACGGTTATGTTCAGATCTATCTCCGTCAGCATCTCCTCTCAGCGTTCTCTTACTTTTGTATGTGGTACCTTTGACGTCCTCGGCCGCTACAGTGCTTGACGCATTAGTTTCCAGCCCTTAGGAAGAAAGTACAGAAAGCAGCACGAATCCCGCTCCTACAGTTTGCGAGTAACTTCCCGAGGGAGCGTTTGTTTCATTTGCTGCCGACAGTCATCACGGCTATGTCTAGCATCCTTGTTCATAGGCCCTGTTCCGTCGTAGCGGGCGGTTCCAGACACGCTGACCTGAAACTACTCGACCCACTTCAACTCGGATACACGTGCGTCCACTGAGTCGTAGCTGTCCTTGCGCCACTTCAACGTTCCACCCCTCCCCCCAATACAACAGAAGCCACTCAAACACTACCTCACGACAAATCAACAAGCGCCAATTGGACACCACTTCAGATTGTCCCGCGAGCCTGCGAAAACATTTGCCACCACAGTCTAGGGCGTGAACGGGTGCAGTCAACACTAGCCCTGGCTTCGCCAGCGGCCACTGTTGCCTGAGAGAACAACACAGGGGTCTGTATGGCAACAGTAAATCCCTCATCGTGATGACTTCTGCTTTTTCCTCACAAATCGGGACTTGACCTGATGATTCTACTTCCCTGAGTGCACCCACACGGCTTTGACTCTACACCTTAACGAGGTCTACTTTTCGGAACGTTGTAACATGAGAAATTACCAAGTAGGCGGTGCAGTCCAGCACACCTTAACTCATTCAAAAATACTCGAAAGGCCGGTCATAAATGTCCCCTCAAAAGTAGCTCTACTTGATTTCTTTTTAGAAGTTGATCCGATCAGTGAAACAGTGCTACCACTGACAGTGATTTATCCAAACTAGTTTACAACTGGAAAAACTTGTGATCCCCTGGGATGGCTGATCATCGGGGCGCTTCTAAACCACAGGGTAGGGCCGAAACCCGGTATTCTGTCATGCTATTAGGTCATGAAGGCCATCGCTCGACGACCTTTAGCATTCTTGATTATACTCGGCAAACAAGGGTCTGCAGTTCAGTGGTAGAGTAACTGGTTTTGAAAATGCAGGTTAAAATTCCAGGTTCCAGATCCAACACAAACGTACAAATTTGGATGACTGCTGACCCCACCTCGGTAGTTATGCGTCTTTTATTTTGATTGATGAAACACACCTTATAACAGGAAGTCCGCTTCGCCTACATGAACTTGGGTTAGCCATCAAGTACCTAACGGAGCTGATTCGACCACAATCAAAGTGCACCCAGTGTCACGATTTAAAACGGGGGGCTTCTCCACCCTCCTGGCTTCCTCCGTCATACCAGGGACCCGTATACTTTGTCGGTGGCGCGGCTAGATGCCAGTCAATTTTTCATGTGGTTGAGTGCACATTTGACACCGGAGGTGCGTCCCGATGCCATGCCGGAAGGACAGTCGCCTTACTGGTGACCACTCGAGGTTGCGGGCTCAGCATCAACATTGGAGTTCTCAGCACGGCAGGACGCAACGTCTTCGAAGAAACAAAGGAGAATGGGGTGGGAACGAAAATACGATTCTCAGGCGTCACGTCAGTGAGAGGGACAATGCATACCAAGGGAAGTGTATTCAAGGTCCTACTTTCGAATCACGTGGCCTGGGAGTGGGAAGAGGGAGTGAGGTCGACGGACTCAGCGCATAATTCCTCATCATCAACAATCTAGCGCAGAATGATATTACCGACAAAGACAAGGGAGACTGGAATGGCCACTTCTGGGTTATTAGCCGTCGTCAGTCAGTCAGACCCAACCCCGAAGTGTGGAATGCCTGGGGCTCGACCCCACGACCTGTTGCTTAGAAGCTCAGCGCCTCTAACCATTGGGCGATGGGCTCGTTGTCTTGCGGTCGCGATCGGAAATATACAATGGTGGAGGGGCGCTCACCGATCGTCTTTACAGAACTCACTCGATCCGCTGTGCCATAGGGCAGGAGGAGTCTGTGGCCCAGTGGGTAGAATCGTAAGACTTCTAATTAACAGGTCGCGGGGCCGAACCTCGGGCGTTTTGCACTTCAGGGTTGAGTATGACTGGCTGACGACGGCTAAAAAGCCAGAAATGGCCATACCAGTCTTCCTTGTCTTTGTCGGTAATGCCATTCTGCCTATATTATGCGTCGCTGCGTGGCTGCTGGTTGGGTTCGAGAGAGAGAGAGAGAAAGCCCTAAGGCACAACGGGACGAGTGAGTTCCGTAAAAACGATCGATGGGCACCCCTCTACCAATCTGATCCGCTTGAATCGATCACAATTCATTGGGCTTGGGAAGGCGCCCAACTGACAGGCTAACTCAGATCTCGCGGGCATCCCGATGTGCATGTGTGGAGTGGCCGGCTGGCGAAATGAGAGTCAGGCTGCAATGACTCCTTCTCAATATGGCCTCCATGGCACCCCCACTCAGTGGGATCCGAGCTGGCGCCATTTTCTTTTGTAACGTGAAATCCTGGTCAGTGTGCGTTGTGAACGGGTGTGCGTGGTGGGGCCTTTTGTCGTGCCGACCACCTGCATCCTCTCGCACCACCGGTCTTCTTGCCTCTGTCTTGACACCAGATCCAGGCGAGTGCGGAGAGGGGTGGGGCAGATGCTGCGCAAGTCCACTACAAAAGAAACCCCGCGCAAGTCACCGTCCCTGCTGTGGAGTCCGTGGTACACATCATCGGTCAGGCCGTTCAAACTCTCGTCAAGTCACATGGTCCCGTGTTGTCGCCTGAATAACGGCCAAACCTCCAGATGAATCACACGCAGTCCGCGACACTGGCCTGATTTCTTAGCCACACGAGGGAGAGGGGGACGTGAGGGGCCTCCAACTGCGAGGGCGGGGGGAGGGAGCGTGGACAAGCCACACACCCACAGCTCAGCAGACAGTAGTGGGCCTAACCTGCGGGCCGTGTCTTTGTCGCCCGGATGCAGAGTACGCTGTTCACGCGGATGCCATGCTGGGTAAAAGTCTTCCGTAAAGACGCAGTATGCGACCCCAGTCAGGAATAAAAGCCACATAATCGTGGCATATTGCCTCCTCGCCCTTTCTATGACTGACGCTTTCGCGCTCTCGCAACTATGCGGAATGTAGTCTACTTCTTTTGCGAAAACAAACTGGATGGACTGCGAAAAATGCCAAACTTTTACTTGTACTGTCAGATATCTTGACAGCATCAACATTCCCCGGAGGTCGAGTTCCTGGTACGTGTGCTCCTTTGCAAGTAACTGTGGGGAATGTTTGTATGCTGTCGCGCTCTCCTTCCCACCCTTCAGCTCCACCCATAAAACTCGTACTGCGCGGTGACCTGGATTTTGTTCCCTGAGTGAGGTCGCATCCTGCGTGCTTGTCAAGTCTTCTCTTCTATTCCATACAAAAGTACCAGAACGTAAATGTACTCATTCCGGTGGAAATCAATGGTCCTGAGAAACAGATCGCACAGAGAGTTCCTGGCCAGAGGGTACACTAATGAAAGCCTGATTCGAAGAGACTTCCGCAGCTCCAGGATTTGAACACAAGTCCATTGGATTGTCTAAGTTCCGCAAATATTCCCATGTTACACTTGAAAAGTCATGTTTGCAAACACGTGTTTTCGATAGTTCTTCGTCAGGCCAATACAGTTACATGAAGGAATGAAAATATATAAAATCAACAGTGTTTATAGATGTCTCAAGGGCTATTAAGTCATTAACACTCACCATCCCACTCCGCCCGCATGACAAGGTCGGCGGGTGTTGGCCCTCAGAGCTAGGGGAGGGGGTTAAGAGATTCTTTGTGTGATGTTCTTGGATTGAGTACACGGAGTACCCATCACTGTAATTAGGGATTTGGGGCGACATGCCGTCATCACTTGGGATTGGCGTTGGCTACGACGAGGAGAGCGCTGGTGTCAGGGTTTTCTGACAGCATAGCACCGGATTCGCTAACCTTATAGCCACTGCCTCGGTTGTTGCTAGTATAAGTTGGCGTAGGCCTTCAGAGAAGCATGCTAGTGTCCGGTAGACAATCTGAAATGCTTCCTTGGCATCGACTCGGTGATTCGTATCGATTAAATGTGCGAGAATAGAACTCGAAATCGACCGGGTCTCACCTCTGTCTAGCTAGGCGGACATATGTTCACGCACCCTCTTTACCAGGCGTCTCGTTGTGCGGCCGCACAGACGGGGTGGTTATTGTCTGTTGCGAGGAGACCGCATCCGTGGCCGGTTCTTGGGAAGAAAAACTGAACTGCCAAGCATGCCGGAATCGATTGAGCTTGCGAGAGAATGCCAGATGCCACCCGGGAACTGCGATCGTTCTGAAGCAATGCTCATGATGGCAACGCCTGAACGGTAGCTGTCCCGTCGTTTTCAGTGGTGGCCGGATTCACCACAGAGGTTGTCACCTCAGTTAGAGACGTCGGTTGAAATTCTTTAAGGCGTTTTCAATTCTCTTTTAGCATCATTTTAGGGCATTCCAACCAAGTCAGGATGCTCGCTTTCGAATGAGCTTCTTATCGACCGCTGGCATAAACTGTACCCCATGAAAGAGTGCCTACTTACGTAGCGTGAGTTTTTTCCATTTCCTTATACATTCAACTATTGTTTATTGAAAGTAAGCATAAAAATTCTTTTTTCTACTCAACTGACAGCAAAGCACGCCTTCTTTAAATCGTATACCTGAAGAAAGAATATCTTTTGGTTTTAAATACTTTCTTAACTTCCCAATAATTCCAAACCGCACCTGCCGTTATACTTGCATTCCGAGTTTCAGAACTGCAAGCTGTATATTTTTCCTGAGAGGAAAAACATGCATTCATATATGCCGTTATGAAGAGGACATATAAGGCTCATATTATTTTGTGCTGGACGTGGATGATCTTGGCCACTATACATGAAACGCTAGTAAATGCGATAATGCGATGCTGTACGACCAGACATCCCACGGTTTAGAAAAATTTCATAATTAAAAACTTTTTGAAACTACAATATGGTCTTTTTCAAGTACAAAATTTGCGGAAGACGCATTCTGCTACCAGTTGAGTAAGAAAATGAATATTTTTGTTCATGTTACATACTGATGATTTGAGATCGCCAAACGACTGCCTGTATGTTAAGTATGCCGATGACATGGTCGTAGGCCACCCACTCAAAAACCTGACTCACCTACAGTCTTTAAAGGATGGCTTAGACCACGTCTCCGCATGGTCTTCGAATAATGGACTCCTACTCAACAATCAGAAATCAGTACAGTGTGTGTTTCGATTGCGACCCTCTCCCATTCCTGAACCTTTGGATATTCTTCCCAATGAGGTATCTTCTTTCCGGTACCTAGGTGTTACTTTATCCTCAAATCTCTCTTTCTCTCTTCATATGGAAACCCTTTTAACAAAAATTCAAAAACTTGTTTATTATATTCGTCGTCTACGTTCATATCACACACCCCAGTCCTTAATCTGGCGATTCATAGATGGCTGTATTCTTCCACTCATTCTTTATTGTTCTCCAGTTATTTTTCCAGCTTTACTTAAAAAAGATCTAGCTATTTTTAAACGTGTCATTCGAATGCTCGCCTCTGCTGCTGGTGTTTCCTATCATCTTTTAGTTGATATTATCGTGCAGCGACATTTCAACTCGGTGGAGCAATTCGCTGACCGAATTTTGAATGACACCGTCCATCCCCTTCATAATGAGTTAATGGCTGCGAAATCCTTACGCCCCATGCGTCGATGCTTCCGCCACATCCCTTGCCGCACTTCGGCCTATCGGAATTCCATACTGCCATTTCTAGCCCGGTATCTCACCTGCAAAGATGTTGAAAAATAAAAACTAAAACTCGAGCTTGCACCTTAAAGTCCTTTTTTCTTCATATACAATCATGTCCACCTTTCCAAAACCTGTTAATCTCTATGGTAATCACTGTGTACTGGAGAACCGTTTTTGCTGAAAGTTTTGAAAGTTATTTTCAAAATAAAGCAGTCCTCTCTCTCTCTCTCTCTCTTAATGAAATATATTAGAATCTATAAAGGCATCGAAAATCAATGAGGAAAGTTCATGCCACTTAAGTACTCATTTTTCACGGAATGTAGTTCACGCAAGTGGTCGATACGGAGTTCGCTCGGAAGTCAGCATCCTGACGTCATTGGAATATCTTGGTATCATGCGACAAGATAAGTAACATGACAACCACACCTAAGTAATCTTCTTGAATTGAAAAGGATTTTAGAATTATGCTGTTACCGACAAAGGCAAAGGAGACAGTAATAACATACTGCCTATAGCATGCGCGACTGCTTGCCTGCTGGTTGGGTTCGAGAGAGAGAGCCCGTAAGGTACAACAGAACGACTTATTCCCGTAAGAACGATCGATGAGCGCCTCTCTACCATTGCACTTAAGAATTTCGATTATTTCATGAGATAGCACATCCATGTGCCCGAGTGAACGAAAGTCAAGCCTAAAATGCTTGGGAGCAGCTGTTAGATCGGTCTCCCGATACCTCTTCGTCACCAGTGCAAAGATGGATAACGCAGGTGTCCGATCAGACCGACGCGCGACTGAAAGGTACGACCAGCAAATACTGGCAGCCACGCGGTCGCGGTAACTACAGAGGAAGCGTGAGAGAAATATGCGGTCAGAGTTTGAGCACCGAGATGCGACCGCGCTGGGCAGCGGCGCATGATTCGCGAGTGGCACGTCTCAGAGACCACTTCGGGCTTTGAAAGTACATTTCGTAGGGGCAAGGCACTCGCAGAGTTGGCCCCTCGAAGTTCACTTTAGTGTGCATATTGTTCCGCCCAAGCTTATTGCGTGTGATTTGCTTCGAAGGTTGTTGCTGCAGTGTTTGACGGGAGACCACCTGCCAGACAATGGCGAGAGAGCCCTTAAGAAGTGATGCAATTTACTGAACTGACACGCCATTCTAATGACGGCCTTCGTTAAAACCGCGCCTGCCTCATTAGTCATCTTGTCGCAGATAAAAAGTGCACACAGGGCTTTTGACAGCGGACACACTGTTGACGCTGTTTATCTAAATTTCGCTAGGATGGCCTACGTCGCACATCATCGGTGCCTTCTAAATTCACATAAGTTGGGCTTTCGAGGCAACCAACTCCGACAGGGCAACGGGCTCGTGGTCCGGTGAGTAGAAGCGTTGACTTATAAACCAACAGGTCGCGAGTTCGAGGCTCGGGTGTTCCACACTTCGGGCTTGGGTGTGGCTGGCTGACGACGGCTAATAAGCCAGAAATGGCCATTCCAGTCTCCCTTGTCTTTGTCGGTAATATCATTCTGCCAACTCCAGTTATTTGAATTTTGTCCGCCGATAACTAGGGCCTCCTGTCAACAACGACATAGCTGGAACTTCAATTCTTGGGCCGCACCTGCTTATAATAATAATAATAATAATAATAATAATAATAATTTTTCTTAAAAACCCGTCGGGGTCCCATCAAAGTCGCATGTGAATGACTTGGTAGACGTGGTCAGGTCTAAGGATGAAAATGGCACCATCACCATGTAGGATAGGTAGTGGATCTGCGATCGACCTTCCAAATTCATGAGAATGGAGCATCCGCCGGCCATACATCCTTTGTGGAGTTTCTTTAAAAACTGTCAATGTATGAGAGGACTACGATTTTTCCAAAGAAGTAGCGCAGCACAGTCCCTGAACACGACGAAAAGAGCGTTCGGGTCAATGAAACCTAAAGGCGTGTTTGCCAACTCACCTGGCAAAAGTCTCGCAGCCTTCCGTTGTCCTCACCCGTTCAAGCTCGGTGGCCATGGCGGCAGTTGCACATGCAAATCCTGAAAGTCTAGAGACGAGCAAACCAAATGCACCAGAACCGAGAACTTTTCTATATCCACAACTGGGAGGACACTGCTTCGACCCTCCAGCTTCTGATACGCCTAGACTGCGACGTCGACACCAAACAGTCTGTTCGGATAGCTTCAGGCGTCTGTCGATGTGGGTAGAATCTCGTAAAGTAGGTTCGCACTGGCCTCACGGTGGGTTCTTTGGAAGGAGAAAGCTTTCCTTGTAGCTGCGGCTGAGGCCAAGGGGGATGCCTACAAATAGCGCCCCGACACGCATTGGTCTAGAGATATCCCCCAGATGAGACCGCGCAATTAATGCACACGCCATCACTCGCCCTCTCTCAAGTGGCCTATTTGGTGCCGACGCATCACTAGATCAAAAGGAAAGGAGCGTATTTGGGTCTACCGGTCGACAGTTGTGGGAGGACAGTCTTCTTGCAAAGGCGATAGCAACCAGAAAGCAACTCCAGAGTGAAAACTCACCACCACCACCACCACCACCACCACCACCACCACCACCACAACCACCACCACCACCACAACCACCACAACCACCACCACCACAGTGAGCAGTCGGTCGCTGTTAAAGCACATTCTGGTCCGGATCCACTGCATAATGCCAACGCAAAAGCTTTAAGGTATCTTATCCGTAATGGGCACTTCTGCACTGACGGTGACGCCAACAACCGTAGTACCCAGATCGTGCACTGGCGCGCGAATGATGGGTAGACTACTGAGTACGCACTAATAGGAGATATGTATTATACACGAAAATCCGGTGGTGGCTACTGTAGTAGTCTCGCCCGGCGTCTTCAGGTGGTTATGTGCCATTGTGACGTCAAAAAACCTCGGATGCAACAAACTAGTGTATTTCCGATCGGTCTAATGGCGGTGAAGGGTTTAGACGGTCTACCCCCTAAGCGCAGTTTATCAGTTCGCGGGCAAAATATCAACCCTCCCCCCCTGTCCCTTCCACTGTTCAGGGAGCATTTCGGAGTAAGTGAACTACCCCCAGGCCTAGGAGAAAAAAGCCGGCCCGAAGTGAGAGCTAGGTCAAATAAACGGTGATGGCATTATTTGGTCGGGAGAGAAGTTGGGAGCGATTCAGAAATTAGGCGCACCGCACACACAAACACACAGCCCCCTCAAGAAGTGACTCCGGCGCCGGGGAAACATTGAAGATAATGTCGGGAAAGGCAGTGAACGGAGGAAGTAGAGGCGGGAGAATGGATCGGGAGGGCGAGGTGTAACCCTGAGATAAGGCACGACGCTGTATCAAAAAAGAGACACGCAGCGGCAATGAAGCATTGCGTCCTCAACTAGTGCTTGCGCAACGGCCTCCCGAATCTCAAAGTGCAAGTGAGGTGTTGGCGGCGGGGGGGGGGAGGGTGGGGGCGGACGAGTAGAGAGGCATCAGCCAGGCATTTGGGCAAACGGGGTTTGGCGCAGTAATAAATACACAGTCTGCTGTTCACATACCTGACTGCAACATGTGTTAGCAAGGCATACATACAAACACAGCGAGCGAGAGAGAGAGGGGGGGAGTCCATTAAAATTACCACAAAGTCAGAAAACAGTGCATGTGGCGGGTGCATTGGCCTTTTCGCAGAGCGGCGCTGAAGATCGTACAAACAAGGCAATGATGGGGGCGCAAAGATAAAAACCAAAAACGATGGACAGAAGGGATTGTCATTGAGGATCCACCCAGCTTCTCGGTCCCCAACCCACCCACAATCTCAGGACAACACAGTCCCCATCTGCTGAAATCGCAGCGGCTGGGCCTCAACAGGGCGGCGCACAGCACACACACACACTCCGCAACCCCCCTACCGAAAAGGGGGCGGAACTGGCGCGGGAAAGGGTAAAGCAAATAAACTAGTATGCTGCCAAACGCACAACGAAACCACAGTCCATGTGTATGTGTGCGCAAATGGATGCGCATGGCGTTCTCACAGCAGTGGCAGACAGCGGGAGGAGGAGGGGGGGCGGAGAGGAAGAAGTGGGATAGGGCGCTCAAAGTCCCAGACAATAAAAATGCGAAAAATATGGCTTTAAGAGCCCCAGGAGTCGAGGCTTGCGGGGCGGGGATTATTGACGGGGGCAGGACCATGTGGTGAAAAGATCCAGTGGGCTTGTATGACCAAAAATAATCTGCAGTATGTCCATATGCGTGTGTGCGTACACGTGAGAGTGTCTTGTCCGCACTTGGAGAGAGAGGGAGTGGGTCTCACGCGCACGATAGGAGGGTTGGAAGAAGTTGGAGACCGGCGGCACCGGTTCCTCAGTGCGGCCTAACCTCAGCACACTCCTAAGGGAAGCATCTGCTCCTCGCACCTCTAGCTGACCGAGGTGCAGGGGTGGTTCGGTGATCCCATTTGACTCAGCACCCGATCCAGCCACTGAAGAGGTCCGTTCAGGTGGATCTCGATCCAGCAGGGCGTACTGGTCACTGTTTGTCGCCTAAGGAGACGGTGAGGAAATGCAGAGTTGACGGTTGACATAATTGCGGCAGGATAGAGTCAAGAAAGAAAAGACAGCACCGGACAGCAAATGAGACCTTGTAGGCCCAGTCCCATCTCCAGTCGGCTTGACTTGTGCTAAGCTCAATTATGAGAGGAGAGAGAGAGAGAGAGAGAGAGAGAGAGAGAGAGAGAGAGAGAGAGAGAGAGAGAGAGAGAGAGAGAGAGAAGCTGGCCCCCCTAGAATTCAGCTTTTTTCTAATCACGCACTTTGAAAGTATAAAGATGCGCCAGCAGCGGTGACGTGGAAGGTTGCCAACTGGTAAGATAACTTGGTCAAACTCAGGACTAGGAGGTAGGTTGCAATAGTCCATTCTTAATACGACCGTTACGGTACTCTCACTTGTGTGCACTCCAAGACCGCCCTCTCTGTGTCTGAAGCCTAGGTAGCATGAAAGTATGACCGCACACGCGGGGCATGCGAGGAATGCTATTTAAACTTGCCAGCCACCGCGTGCTCACCCATTTCCTGTCATTCTGAACATGTCTCGTCATTGGAAAACAGCGTAGAAAAAGGGTAGGGTAGATACAAAAGATAGACTCACGGAAGGCAACCAAAACGTAGGTCTACTGCTACTACTACTACTACTACTACTACTACTACTACTACTACTACTACTACTACTACTACTACTACTACTACTACTTCTGCTATTTCCGCCGCGAAAATCATGTGTGGCGATAAAATACTCATATGAAAGGACATGCAGGCGTAAGGGCGTGCGTAAGAGGATCGGGGGGAGGGAAACAGACTGGGTCGTTACCTATACTCGGCACCCCAGCCCTTGACGA